TACGCGGCTGGGCCTATTAACCATGGGCTTAATAACCGGCGACTACTGTACCTCGTTAAGCCATCGGAAAATTGTTCTGAGAGGAGCCGGGGGATCGGTGAGGCTATGGCGATCACTGAGTTTGCGTAGGGTAAGATTTAACCTCGCCCCTTTTTTCTATTACAATTACAGTCCATCTGAAAGGCCTGGTTCCAAACGACGGGCTAGAAGTCAGGGTGCAGTGAATGATTGCGCAATGCGTATTGCAACTACGCACCAAGCGGCTTTTGGATTGAAAATAAACAGACCCTAACTCGCATACAAACACGGGCCCGGTCTGACCTTACGTCAAACTTGTTGGAAGCGGTAAATTCAAACACGAAGACCCGCATTAGATAGATGGACAGACGCGGCATGGGGGAGGGGGAACTGGGAGCAGTGAGCTGACCATAACTCCAACAACTCGTGCCATTCTATTTTTACATTAATAGTCTATTTTAAGTTATTTGAGGAGGTTTTATCTATACTGCTTATTCGCTTCTGGACCAAAATAACTCCTAGGTTCGCCCTCCTCTATTGCATGCTAATACTTCTCTGGCTAGACGAAAGAGCTCACCGCCAAAACCCGTAACCTAAGAGTCCTGATGACCACTTTATTGTCGGAATTAGACAAAGGCAGCTGAACTGCAGGTGCTTAGCCTGCCTGCCTTGAATTCGGCCCCTTCAACAACGGAGATGCCGATACACACCACCAAGACTATCAATGCCTCTGCAATTGCCAGCCACATTTTCAGCACCGGAATTCTTACGGTTTGGCAGTCGCGGGTTTACAGCAGCAGGCGAACCCACCAACAGCAAAGGAGCCTGCAAAATCAGTTTACCAGTTTACCGTCGAGGTGTTTTTAAAAACTGATAATAGGCATCAGTAATTACACCGGCAAAAAACCAACCCATGAGGGCAGTCACATAAACTGAGAGCGCAAGCAGGTCAAGAACACTGGTAACCATGCTGTGCCAAGCCTCTAACGATAAAAACCTCAAATAATGCAATCATAAATTGGAGTGAGCGATTTCTGTCGCCCCCCCCCCCGAGAGAAACAGAATGTGTGGGTAGACAGACTCGGGA